ACTCGAGGATATTAGCGGCGGACTATAAGTCTGTGCGAAATGTATTCTCTGCTCTTTTGCGCGGAAGCGCAATTGTGACCGGCAGGAAAAGCTTTCGGAATAGGCAACTTTGTGTCTGGGGACTCGTCGTTCTTTTCTTCGCGAGTCTCGAGCACGTCGATTTACATCGAACGCATTTTCGTTTATTTCTCTCACGTCGCACGTCGCGGGTTTGTACTTATGAAATATTTTACAAGGTTCATATTGCGAAAATACTTCCCCCATTATGTGATGGAAAATATGACAAATTATTTTACATTATTACAATGTACTATATTATATTCGCTTGTAAAATATATTATTATATAATTAATAAACAGTGCAAATATATATTTCTGTACGAGGAGAGCGAGCTTACACCATTTTCCCAAGAATATTCAAGTAATCCTAAAAATCTACAAATTGTCCTCTCTAAGAGTAGCTAAAAAACTAGAGCCAAGCGCGAGCGGCGATTCAGTGGCGAGGAATAAAATAAGAGACAAACGCGAATGTTTACGCGAGTAATTTCGCCGCGGAAGAAGATGGATCGCGCGACGCTCGCGCTTATGAAAATTCATTTCACAGGCGAGCGGGAAAGCAATACCGTCCGGTTAATGGCGGCAGCTAAAACGTGACACGCGCGCGACGACTGTAACGTCAGCATTCAGCAACGAACGGCTGAATAGATTCGGCCCGATATCAGCCGACTATAGAGACCCGAACGAGCTTCGTATAATCGTTCGAGCCGGCGCGGCGCGCCGCGTGGGCGTAGAGTTTCAACAATATCGTTCGCGTGGCACTAAATCACTTTCTATTCATTAATCATCGGCCGCGCGGTGGGTTACGTCACAGTAGATTTATACCTCATTTCGGCGTTTCGCCCGCTCCATTAAATTCCCGCCGGACGGGTAAAAAGTCCTTCGTCCCGATAATCGCGTTACATTACTCTGCTGTGTGCGCGCGCGTGCGAGCGGCTGATCGACGATCCGAGGCGAGAGCCGAGTTTTCGTGTCACGCGAAGGTGCAATTTTTCGAGACGGCCTCTCGCGCGCGCGCGCGGAGTAACCCGGACGAGGACTGTTCCGCCTCGCGAGCTTTTCACGGCTGTCGCGCCCGTATTTGCGAGAACGCGGGAACTGTTCCACGGTAAACCGCGCGCGCGCGCAGCGCGCGTAATTGCGAGAGCGCTTAACTTACTTAAGACGATCAGACGCTGTTTGCACAAAATTGACGATGAGTTACGCTCTAATAACGTTCCTCCCTCCCTTTCTCTCCTCGGTCTCTCGATTAAAACTGAGCCTTAACGATTAAACTTGCTTCTTCTCGCGCTTGACTGCAACTTTTAATAACGGAGCTCGCTGCCGCTCGGACGCGACGTCTTTAACGGGACACAAAGTGCGTGTTGAGTAACGTCGGGGACGGTCAAGGGGAGGGGGGGGGGGATACGCTATGAAAATTCAGACGCGATGAACCGCAAATTCCCAAATGATTATTACCAACGAAAGTTACCGTCGCGCAAATATTTTCGTAAGACCGTCGGAAGTTCAAATATCGCCCAAACACTCTCTTCTCCTCCCCCCCCTCTCTCTCTCTCTCTCTCTCTCTTTACTCTGACAAGCGGCGCGGAAAACGGCGTGCATGGCCGGTCGAGTATGAGCAGACCGCATTCCAGCGGTCGACGAGTAGTGCGGGTCGCCGTTTGGCCCGACAGTTTGCCGGTGGATACAGTTAAACGACATTGCTCAGCACTCAAGTAATTCCCGTTCTTTTGTACACGGCCGGCGCCGAGCTAATCCCTCTTGTACACGGATCCTCAGCCGGCTCTCTCGGCGACGGACATTTTCCGAGCCTCGATTGAACCTCGCTCGCTCGCTCGCTGTGCTCGCTATCGATTTCCCAGGTGATCCGGTCGCATCGCGTGAAACTCCAAGATACAAACGGAGATACGAGCACGGTAGGGGAAAGAAAAGAATAGCGGGAAGGAGAAGAGAGAGAGAGAGAGAGAGAGAAAAGTACTCGCCGGGTCTCGTTCGGTCGAGCGATTATTGCCACTTTTATTTCAGCGGCTCATTTCAATAATGAGGCACGAAGAACCGAAGACACGCTGGCTAAGAGCCCTGTTCCGGGCATTGGCACGATCCGTGAGCAATTTTCAGACATTTTTGGTAATAATAATAATAACGATAATAATAATAAATTTTATTCCTGGCACAGCCAGGTGGAATAATATTGAAAAATGCGCGAAGAAAGGAAGAAAGCAGCCAAAATAAACGAGGCTTCAGCATTGAAACTGAGCTTATTGCCTCACTCGAGTGATGAATTTGAACTCGAGAGAAACGAAGATATCAGGGAACATCAAGAAGAGATTTCTGTTCCAGAACTAAAAGATATTTATGAGACCCTTTTGTAATGATGACGCGAGGAACGTGTTATTCGCGACAGATAAAATTCAAACAATATGTAAGCTACTATCGGCCCACGTCGTGCATAAAATTTATTCAGCAGAGAACGTTGTCTCGGCGTTGCGGGTCAAAAAGTGGCGTATTTAGCGGTCGCTATCCAGAGTAGAATCTTCTAATCGGGAATGCGACCGCGTCTCTTCCATAGTCGGCGATCGTCCGGAGGAAATCATCAGTTACCTTTTCGGAGTATCAGCGTCGTCGTCATCGTCGTCGTCGTCATTCTCGTCGTCGTCGTCGGCAACGGTAGTTTCCTTCTGTTGATGAACAGCCTCGTAAACGGAATAATGTACGGTCGCAAGGGGCCACGGTTCATCTGGCCGGTTCTTTCGCGTAATCCCGTATAACGTATGAGAACGCGACGCAGTCCGTCCCGCGGATTACACCCGGCAGAGATTAAACCCCAGCCATCGCGCGCGCGATGGTTTTCCTGCCGGTATTTGCAAGCCACCCGGACAAGTGGCTCGAAGGAGAGAGAGAGAGAGAGAGAGAGAGAGAGAGAGAGAGAGAGAGAGAGAGCGAGGCAAGAGCCGCGGGAAGTGAACAGCGAGGGAGATACACCTTTGATATCTTGCTCTCGAGAAATAATTCACTGTTTCGTTCTCTGAATTGCAAATCCCGGCGACAGGCGAACATCCGACGGCATCGTGAGCGGGACTTAATAATTTATAATCCCTGCCAAAGAGAGCGGTGCGCCGCTCTTTCGCGAAAATATATTCCACTCGTCCCGGGGTCTTCGGTTTCAAAGGTCGCGCGAACGGCGGAGGTGCGGCCGCGCGACAAAAGGCGAATATTCCGCGCCTCGCTCTTGTCCTTTGCCCCTTTTGTCCGTTTCCTTCGCGGTCGCCTTCATTACGCCAAACAATCCGCGGGAATGACACGGTACTCTCCGTCTCCGTCTGCCCTTCCGCCGCTAAACTGAATTCATACGTCCGGACGAAGAAGAAGGAAAAGAAGTATCGCGTGTAGGAGTTTACTTTATTATCTCACTCTCGGCCGTCATTCGAGTCATTCGTTTTGCCCGCTGAGCAATTCACTCGACAAATTGCCGGGCAAAAGCCTCTTTGACGTGGGATCTCTGATAAGAGAGCTAGCTTTACACGATAGATATCCCGGGACTCGAGCGAAAACTCATTTTCACACCGACGCGACGCCCGGAGCACTTGCCGCGCGATATTTCAGAAAAATATTGAAAAATATCCCGGGCGTCTGCTACTTGCTGCTTGCGGCAAGAGTAAAGCAGAGTCGCCTTTATCGCGGATAATCAACGCACGCGCGTATCGCGTCGCGCTCGCCGGCGCTCGCGTGCAATTGTATATCCGACTAATTGCTCCCCCTTCTCCGCCCTCCTGTCGTCCCGCTCGATCTCAGAAGATTCTGTGCGTACACTTTGCTCATTAAGGAGGGAAACCGTCTTTCGTATCCAGCGAATCTTCGTCCGCGAGGAAGCATTGCGATCTGCGATAGCAACCTGTTATGCATGTTACACTCACACAAAGAGAAAAAAAAATATATATATATATACAGGTTGTCCCATTTTAATCCGGTCGGCTGAATAAAATTCGAGGATGATATTTTCCAGAAAAAAATGTCAGACAAATGTTGCTCAGTTCTAAGTGGGACATTCGATGCCATCAACAATTTTGACCTCGGGTGAAGGGTTCAAGGTCATTCAAGGTCAACTTTTTTTTCTTAAACGGGAACCCCTATTTTTCACATCGGCAATCGATTCTACGTAAAAGAAAATGAAACTTTTGTCTGAAGCATTTTTTTTTATAACTCAAACTAATTCCACTTATTCAACCTCCAAAATTGAAATTTTCAAACTTTTTTTTACTCGAGAATGGTGGGGCTTGGGGGGAAATTGCAGAGAACAAAAAGTTCTTGGAATGCTGCAAGGAATTCACTCGAATTTTCGCATAGTTGATCGTGCACTTTTTTCCGCCAATGTTCTACCTGTCAGGAGGTACCTCGAAATGTGAAAAATAGGGGTTCCCGTTTAAGAAAAAAAAGTTGACCTTGAATGACCTTGAACCCTTCACCCGAGGTCAAAATTGTTGATGGCATCGAATGTCCCCCTTAGAACTGAGCAACATTTGTCTGACATTTTTTTCTGGAAAATATCATCCTCGAATTTTATTCAGCCGGCCGGATTAAAATGGGACACCCTGTATATATACATAATACACGTCTGATATAATTATCGCGAAAGCAAAACAATCCGTCGCGCGCGCGCACGTCGATATATTATCGCGCACGACACGCGATACATGATGCATGACGCACGACACATGACGTATGATGTACGACACATTAATGTTGATGCATTATATCTGTATACTTGCGTGTACGCGGCATTGACATATTCCGCCGGCATATTTCGACTTGTTTCATTGGCGCGGACGTTTCATTCGCGGGGCGGCTCGATTGTAACTCGTACTTAAATAATAGCCGCCCCGTCCGCATTCCGTGGCAGGCAACGCTTTACGATTAATCGAGCACCATTACCTCTTGTGCGGGCAGAGTGGCGGCCAGAGCGGTGTGTGGACAGCAAGCGTGATCATACTCTCGATCGGCACCTGGGTGGGCAAGGTCGGCCCGCGCCCGGCGGATGGGGAGCTCGCGCTCCTGACGTCGCCGCGTGAGCGATTGGAAACTGTCCGGCAGGTTCTTTCCGAGGTGCCTTTGATCGACGGCCACAATGACCTGCCGTGGAACATCAGGAACTTCGTCCACAACCAGCTGGCGGACTTTGATTTCGACAAGGACCTGCGCCAAGTCGCGCCCTGGAGCAAGAGCGCCTGGAGTCAGACCGACCTGGTCCGGCTGCGGCAAGGCATGGTCGGCGGTCAGGTAATCGCGCGCGAGGCCCGAGCGGAGGTTCCGAGCGTTTCGCGCGCACGTTCGCCGAGAGCAACTTTTCACGGGAATAACGACTATCGACTATCTCCTCCCGGCGAGCGCTCGCGAGCCCGGCTCGATAAACCGGCGGCTGCTAGTCGGGGAAATGTGAGTTGTTATCACTCGCGCCCACCGGATGTGCACGTCGCAGATTAGCGAAATATTTTATACGCGGAAGTAAATTGCAGATACACGGGAGAGCGCGAAAGTGATTTATGACTCGCGAGAGCTGGTCAAATGACGCAATATATCCTCTTCAGGTAACCGATCATGGGATCGGTTAGCTGAAGGCAATTTTCTCTGGCAATTCAACTCAATATTTCGCCCGGTGTTTCGTGAGAAAATCCCGCGACTTCAGTCCCATCGAATCTGCGTATGCGTCATTTCCCAACTCGTCGGCCGACACCCCTCCCCGATTTCCCCTGCAGGGAGCTCCTGGGAAAAAAGTCTACGGGCTTATCCTTTTCAGCTGAATCGCTGCTGCTGCTGCTGCTGCTGCTGCTGCACTGAAACTTTGTTGCTTTCCCCTCCAACGACAATTTATGTATATACTTATTCCAAGACGGCAAAAGGCGCGCTGGTTCAGAGTAGACAGAGAGACAGAGCGATGGATACGTCGCGCTCGAAATTTCCCGGTGACGAGAACACGCGGCCGAATTTCCGGATTCAAATCTCGATCTCTCCGACGGGAGAGTCAATCATCGAATTTTTCGATGCTCTCAACGAAAGCGAAAGACACTTATTCGCGCGTTCATCCGCGCGACTCGCAGAGCGGGTTACGTTACTACGCCGTAGCAATCTGGACTGCCCGGAAGAGCCGTGCTAGACGACGAGGCCGGTTTCGGGTGTTGGCGATATTATGAGCGTGACGGATTGAATGCATCGATTATCGTCGCATGCGAGCACTCAAGAGCTCGTTAGGTCTGAATGATGCGAACATTAAGCGCGTGTCACGCTCGCGCGCACAGATGACGGCGATCTCAAAGGCGACATCTCTCTCTCTCTCTCTCTCTCTCTCGCGCGCGCGCGCGCGTCGACAATTGCAGAAGAGAAAATAAAATACGCGACTGCCGCGTCGCGCGTTTCGTTGCGATGAGGTCGCTCGCGCTAATGAGCTTTCGAGGTAACATCAGCCAGTTACCCTTCCCCTCCCGCTGACGCTGACCGGGGATAACGAAGAAAAAGCGTGCGTCCCGCTGGAAAATGAAAAAGAATTACACGCGAAGCTGCGCGCGCGCGCGCGCGCGTAGATTGGAAATTTGGAGGACAAAGCAATTTTTTCACGCGCAAACGCGCAGACACGCGCGGACGTGTTCGCGTCAAATCAAATCGCGCGAGTCCCAACGAATTCGTTGCGTCCCTTTGTCGCGAGGTCAAGATCCCACGTTGTTACGTCCTCAAATTGGATTCCCATCCGGCGTGTCCGCCGTTGTATTCCCGGGTGGGATGAGTGGTCCTTTCGAAAACGTCTCTCGCCAAACTCCTGCGCCACCTCCTCGAACGTCGCTCGCGTAGTCTCGAGTATGCGCTGTGTAAGAGCGTCTCTTTCCTCCGTAGTTTTGGGCCGCTTACGTGCCGTGCGCGTCCCAGCATCTCAACGCGGTCCAGCTGACTCTGGAGCAGGTGGACCTCATTAAGAGGCTCATAGAAAAGTACTCGCAGCACATGCAGTTCGCCGCGTCGTCGAGGGGTGAGTGAAGCCCGACGACTTTGCAATGCGAGACCGCGCGTTTAGCGTTAAACGGATCCTCCTGTGTGAACTTGAAGGACGAAGTGAAGCTTCGAGCCGGACGGTCGGATTTAGGGCTGAACGCGCGGTCGGCATACGCGCGTTGGATGAGGAACGGCGTGCCCGGCGAAGATTCCCGGATACAATTCGGCGCAATCGAGACACGGCGATTTTGTTGAAGCGCATTTCTCCGTTCCAGAGATCCTGGAGGCCCACGGCAGGGGCAGAATAGCCTCCCTGATTGGAGTGGAGGGTGGGCACAGTCTAGGAAGTAGCTTAGCCGTTTTAAGAACGCTCTACCAGCTGGGTGTGCGATACCTCACGCTGACACACACTTGTAACACGCCGTGGGCGAAGAGCTCGTCGGTGGAGGACGACGACGAGGACGGTAATCGTCGACGTGAATTTAGAATAGGCATTTTCCCGGCTCCCGCGAGGAAAACGCGGACTGTCACGCGTCGTGATTCGAGGATTTTGAGTTGGGTTGTGTTGTCCTTGTTGGGTCAATGGATTTAACCCAATTTACCCTGATGGGATGGACAAGTCTGTGTGAAAATAGTTGATGAATGTACGTTTAAATGTGGGAATATTATTGGAGATTTGATTTAGGAGACTGGAAATTTAAGAGGTTGAAAATTAAATAAATATCTTTAATGAAAACAAACCTTCGAGCAAACTTCTCCAAGAATGTTGCAACAATCACTAATGAGTTACAGAATGTGTCTACTTAAGGGGACTGAAGGGTCAGATTGCTGAAAAATCGTGCTTGTTTTTGATAACATTCCGTGACGAACTGAATAAATGTGTAAGAATGAAAATTTTAGGTTTATATTTATACAAGATATGAAGAGTAGACAAATTTTGTTCATTAACAAATACTCGTATAAACATAATACGATATATATAGCTGAAATATACTTTTCTATTTTTTTTCAAGTTATCGTTTTTACAGTAATATCTCGGCTCTCAGTGGTCCGATCAGAGCGAATTTTAGCTAGAAATCTTGAGGAGGCTTATCATTATCCGGTGAAACACTAGAAAAAAAAGATCGAACAAAATTAACAAAAAATCGGAAAAAATTAACAAGCAGCTTTATTATTAGGAAAAAAAATCAAATTTTTCAGTTCTTTTACAATAAAAAAATTAATATCCCGAAATGAAATATTTTGACGGAATTGTCCATGGTTCATCTGAGAGCCACATGAACAAATGGTATTGCTTTAAAATTTCAAATCGATACGAAGCTCAGTTTTGGAGAAATCACTGCAAAAAGTTGAACAATAAAAATTTCGAGGAAAACGCGTTTAAAATTTAAATGGACGTATATTTATGTGAGTATTTGTTTAAGAACAAAATTTTTCTACTCTTCATATGTTACATACAATATATGTAAAATTTTCATTCTTGCACATTTATTCAGTTCGTCACAAAATCATTATCAAAAACAAGCACGATTTTTCACTAATCTGACCCTCCGGTCCCTTTTAAGAGCTACGCCCTAGCTTGCGCATCGCCCTTTGTAATCAGGTGGTCAGGTACTCCCGCGCGAGTTCTTACCGCCTCATCAAGAAATAGAGAAAAGATGCTTCTCACGACACAAGTATCATAATCAATAGTCAATAATCAATACTCCATTGTCAATTGTCTTTAACAATTTTTCATCTCCCGATCTTATTCCGAGCCGTTCGAATCGATATCTTATTTCGAGTCGTCATCATGTTCTTTAAAAGTTAAAAGTCACGTAGACGTAACACGACATCTCCGACAGTTTAGCGTCATATAAATGTAATCCGTAACGTTCAAGGAATTCGAGCATGAAGAATAATATATATATATATACATATAATACACGATTTATACATGATAATATATAACGATTTTTTCTCAGGATTCAGCAAGTTCGTAAAGTTTGAGATACGTATGTTACACGACACTCAAAGTCCCTCTCTGCAATATTTTCTTCTCGACCGCGGATTATTATTCGCGTTAGATTTCGTCCGCGTTAGAATTCATCGCGACACTTTGCTCCGTAAGACGAGGATGATACGATACGACGAATTAATGATCAACGATAACGGGGCGGTCGTCTCCCTCATTAATATGGTTGAACTGATTTATGAGATTTACGTGACGCGAGCCTCTTAACGCGGGACTCCATTAAAAGAATAAAAGCTGAAATATCTTCCAGGCGGGGGCCTGACGGTATTCGGTAAGGCGGTAGTCCAAGAAATGAATAGGCTCGGGATGCTGATAGACCTCAGCCACACCGCGAGGGCGACCATGAGGGATGCTCTGAGGGTCAGCAGAGCGCCGCTCATTTTTTCACACTCCTCAGCGTTCGCCATTTGTAACTCCTCCAGAAATGTGCCCGACGACATTCTCAAGCAACTGGTAGGTACACAGAGACTCCTGCCAACCGTTAATTCCTGGTCCCGCATCGCCCCGAGCGGCGTAAGCCCCGAGAAAATATTTTTATGCATACAAGTGCACGTGACCGTATCTTCGGTAAGAGAAGCAAGGAACAGATTCGTCGGTCGAAGCGCGCTTCTTCAGAAATCCCGGCGAGAAGAAATACATGTGAAAAAAAAAAAAAAACAAACATGCCTCCCCGTTTGCACGCAAGACCAAGTACTCCGTCGGTAATTGCGTCAGGATCGACGCGAGAATCTGCGGCTTCTCGGCGGCGGGATTCGCGCTTGTAGAACGCGCGACTGGACTATCGGCGAGAGACAAAAAACGTGACACAACGTGACAAAGATAAAAAGCTCATTCCGTATCCTCCGTCTCTCCGCCGCTCCTTCTCCCTCTTTCTCTCGCCCGCGCTCGACCGGATCTCCCCTTTCTGCGGGTAGATAATTATCCCGCTGCGGCAGCTGGAGTTCCGATAGCTCGAAACATTTACCGACGGCGATTCCTTTCCATTGTCGAGTCTTGTGCTCCATTAAGGTACGCTGGCCGGCTCGCTGCAGCTCGTTAAGAGCTGCGAATTATCAAGGTCGAAAATTAACGGCACCGAGTCGACAATGAACGCGGTGCCGCCGATAACGACGAGGTCTCCTTGCCGCCGCTCGTCGTCGATTCTATCGATCCCTCTGTCGCACTTCTCCCTCTCTCCTCCCCCTCTCCCCCCCTCCCTCCCCCGCGGGGCGAGAGATGTACGAGCATTTCGTTTTCGCGAGGCAAAGGCGCGATGGTCAGGTTTCGATGGTTTTCGACCGGCGGAAAATTACGTGTTACGCCTTCCGCCGAGCGACGGCGCGGCGCGGCGCGGCGCGAAGAGCGATTCGCAATCGTCGCAAAACGCGAGATTACTCCCGCCCCGTCCGTTTCTTCTCTATTTGTTTCTTTCTCTCCAGTCCTCCTGCTTTTCCCCCCGACACGTAATCGCGCGCTCTTCGTTTTCCAGGCTGACAACGGCGGGCTGGTGATGGTCACGTTTTACAATTACTTCGTGAAATGCGGGCCCCAAGCGACCGTCTCGGACGTGGCCGAGCACATATACTACATTAGGAACCTAATTGGCGTGGACCATATCGGAGTCGGCGGGGACTTCGACGGCATCAACAAGTACGTCCAAGAATAAGACGGATTGACGTGGTGGAATTAATCGGCGATTAATATCCCCGAGTGCAAGCGGAGGAGAAAGATTAATGGTCGAGTTCGTGCGACAGCGCGAACGAGCGAAATGATCATCTCGACCGAGGGAGACAGAGAGATTCCGGTTCTCGGAATTTGATTCTTCATAAGAACCAGAAGTACCGTCTCCCTCGAGCAAAGCGCACTTTGGTCCGGCCATTTTTCAGCGCAACCGCGCGACCGATCTTTCTCCTCCGCGCGAGTAGTCGTCCGGCAAAATACATATATCCTTCAATCCCGCTGTGGAACTTTCGAATAATTCGCGCTTCGCGACGACGACAGTTTATCAGGCGGGGCTCGCGGAGGCTCGTCCGAGGGCTGAGTCGATCGTCTCGCGCGCACCGAGATGAATTCTGCGGCTCTCGCGTTATTCTCTTTCCAGCTGCGGAAAGACCGCCGAACGAAATGTCTGATATCAGTTATTCGCGAAACGTCTCGCCGTCGTCTCCTCTCTCTCTTTCTCTCTCTTTCTCTCTCTCTCTCTCTCTCTCTCTCCTTCTCTCGTTCGCAGAACTCCCCGCGGTCTCGAAGACGTCTCCAAGTATCCCGAACTATTCGCCGAACTTCTCCGCAGTGGCAAGTGGAACGTGCTCGACTTGAAGAAAGTCGCCGGCTTGAATTTACTGCGGGTCCTCACACAGGTTAGGGCTCCATTAAGATCTCCAGACGCACTTGTATATACACGCTCCGACCGTGCCTTATAATACTCCGTCATAACTCCGTCGCGGCGATGCATGCTACTTCGCGCCGCCCGCCGCTGCGCACTCGATAACACACACACGCACACACACACACACACACATACAGGCACGCACGCACGCACGCACACCTTGCCGTCTAACGTTCCTCACTAGCGCTCATAAATAGCGGCTCTTAAATACTTGACGAGCATGAAAGGCGAAACTGACGATAACAAATTTCTGTCGCCGCGTGAGCGAGCGGACGAGCGACCACGACGATTATTGCTCTCGAGAGCCTGGTCGTCGAGCTGGTAACCCGCAAATAAAGCTGAGGCAACAAAGCCGAGGGGCTCGGTATACGCGAGAAAATGAATAAAGCATTCGCGGTGTTAACACCTTGTCGACGGATGACGGACGCGGCCGGGTAAATATTGTCGTAATTTGCGTCGGCCCAACGCGCCGCGGACGACGAACGGACGTCGGCCGATGCGATATTGGTCGTATCGCGTGCGAGGGTTTTTTCTTTTTTCTTTTTTATTTCATCCTTTTGCATGTGCGAATTTTTACATTACGGCCCGATATCGGCCCGATGCGTTGCCTCATATTTATCGCATGCTGCTGCTTTTACCACTTATCGCGAATGACGCGACAGCTCGCACAGTTGCCGCTCGCCCTGCTGATTATGCTCGACTCAGCTTTTGAATCGCGCCAAAGATACGGTGAATAAACGCGACTCGCGATGCATGTCCATTGACTCGTTTCATTAGCCCTCTGTCAGCCACGTATTTGACTTGTCGTTGCCCCGCTCAAGTCCCGCAGGGCAAGTTAATGAGACGCGGGAATATCAGGAGACGCCGATCGCCGCTGACCATCATGGCGACGGACGTGCTGAACGAGTACGAGGTTTGATCAAAAAGTAAGGAGAATTTTTATTTTTCTCGGAAAGTATTTATTTAATCTTCAATGTTTATCCCCGTCTCCTTCAAAGTAGTCCCCATGTGATATTGTACATTTATATGCCAGGGTAGTTTCCAGTTTGAGAAACACCGGTGGAACGCCTCGCTTTAGGTGGATCGTCGTCAGCTGGATCTGTGATTTCGCCTTGATCTCACCTATTGTTGAAAAACGTTGTCCTTTGAGTGTCCTTTTGAGTTTGGGAAATTGGAAAAAGTCACATGGGGCCATGTCTGGAGAATAAGGTGCTCTTGCGATGATTACGCGATGCTGTTTTTCTGGAAAATTCTGCAGCTTCGGAGCAGATTCTGCTGCCACTCGTTTCGTGTTCAAGACATTAGTAAAAATCGCTTCGCATGAGCCGTATGAGATTCCTATTTCTTCAGCAACCTCTCTAATGGTGATTTTTCTATTAGCAAGCACAATCTCTTAAACTTTTTCCACGTTTGCATCACTTGCTGTGGACTTGCTAGGACGTCCAGACCTCGCGTCATCTTCCATGTCTTCTCGGCCTTTCTGAAAGCGTTTGCGCCATTTATAAACTTGTGGTTGCGACATAGTATCGTCTTTAACATTTTGAACGCTTCGCTGCACTTAATTCCGTTTTTAACACAAAATTTCAGACAAATTCTCTGATCCGACTGATTCCGCCACGCAAAAAATCGCCCTGAAAGAACACCCTGAAGTACGTGTCTTGCTCATTCGCTCGCCAAACACGAGTTAGGAATGCCGATTTTAAATCGATTTTCTGGAACTGAATCGGTTCAAGGATCGATCTGTAAATTCTGACAATCGCCAACACGATTTTCTCAGTTTCTACTAGTAATAGTTTTTTTTTCTTTAATTCTTTTTAGTTGTAATATTTTAATGGCTGCACGATGCACATTACGTTGCCTTTCGACCAATGTCCCACGGACGAAAATTTTCACCGGAACGGAACGCGCGAACCAATCACAGCCACTCCATATAATAGTATATATTATTGGGTTGGCAACTAAGTGATTGCGGATTTTAAATAAGAATGAAAATTCAGAATTTTTAATTTGCTTTTTTAAATTTTTTTCAACGCATGTATGCGATACATTGAGCTTCTCTGCAATATCACGTGTTGTGCTATGACGATCTGAATCGATAATGGCCTTGATATGAGTCTCATCGACTTCAACTGGACGGCCAGATCGTTGAGCATTTTTCAATGAAAAATCACCAGAACGAAATCTGGCAAACCAATCTTGACACTGCCTTTCTTTCAAGGCTTCATTCCCATATACGGCACATAACTTCTTGTGTGCTTGCGATGCGTTCTTGCCTTTACGGAAATAATACAATAAAATATATCTGAAGTGCACGTCTTGCTCTTCCATTTTTAAATTGGGATAAAAACAAAACTAAACAACTAATCGATATAATTTTTGTACTAAATGAAAGGTAGAAGTCCAAACAATAAGAAAAAAATATAGGTTAGGTACTTTGAACACGTTAACGAAACAAAAGAAAGTGTAAAATCCATCTGTCGACAAAATTCGCAATCACTTAGTTGCCAACTCAATATATACATATATATATATATGCATATAACAGTAAACATGATTTCTTATTTAATAACGTTTAAAAACAAACCCTTGATTGATGTTTAATCAAACCAATTAAATCCTTGGCACAAAGATCTAAAGATCTTTTTCCATCTTGTTGTGGTTCTATCTGTTTAATTTCTTTAATTCATATTAAACTTTATATGAATTACACGAGGTCCACTTTAGAGTGTAGAAATTTGACAGATTGTATACTTTAATGAGCGGTTCACTTTACACGCATACCGATTCAAATCGATTTTCTGAAATCGATTCTTTACAAACCGATTCTTTTAAGATCGATCTTTTCCTTCGTGATTCGAATCGATCTTTAAATCGATCCGTTTGGACAAACAATCGGCATCCCTGACACAAACTAAGCGTCGCAAGCAACTTGCATGAAACCGCCTTTTACATCGACAATATACCCTATATTTGCAGAGATAGCTAGATTTCTCAAAGTCACCAGCCAAGTTATATAAAGCCCGTATATCGAACCGATCTGGAGAATGGCGTGTGGACGTACCCCAATTTGTCCGGAGCCATATATTGAACTGAACCGAACTGAAACTAAGCGTCGCAGCTGCCTGAAAATTGACACACACGTCACTGTGGTAGTGCTACCAACGCACCAAAAAAGAACCACCTGAACAGACAAGATACAACGCGCGCAATTTCAAAAGTTCTCCTTACTTTTTGATCAAACCTCGTATGTACATAAGACTCGTTACACATGAATGTCCAAGTTTCCGGCGATCGTTAATGCGTAGAAGAGAACAACAAGCCGGCGATGATCGGTACGCGAGCGAGTGAGCGCAGCGTTGTCCCTTGTTGTCTCGTTTGCTCCGCAACGACCGAGCGAAAGCGATTCTTCTCGGTCGTGATCTTTCGCGACCGCTGCCCCGAGCACGATAATTTAACGTTAATACTGTTGCACCAGGTAGAGCGCGTGCGGGACGACATGAGGACAGCGGGAATTACGCCGTCCGAGGAGTACCTTCCAGACTCGCCGGACACGGTCGGCAACTGCGCCCTGGATATTAATTCCGTTCAAAGGGTCACGGAAGTCTGATCGATCGGACTGTACGCACTGCGCCCGGCGACATGCAAATTAATCTTACACCCGCACGGCATTACGTTCCGCGGGCGCAACGGCCACGGCCGGGAGACAAGCCGGATACCCGCCGCCGTCGCCGTCGCCGTCGCCGTCGCCGTCGCCGGCGACTCGAGGCGACTCGAGGCGACTCGGGGCGAAAATTCAATTATCTCAATTACCGCGGCCTGCACGCTCGCGAAAGCTCAATTAAACGTCGACGTTTGCGAAGGCTCAAAATAAACCTACCTCCCGATAGCCCGTTTCACGTAGGCGACGAGCGACATTCTATCGATTTGCGTTTCACCTCTCCCGCGGGAGCGTTTGCATGCAACGTTATACCGAGATGCGTCGTCGACGGAATAATTAGGACACCGTCAGCAGAGGCTCGAGATGCGAAATCTTTCAGTATCTCGTTCTCGGTGAACGATATCGAGTGGCGGCGACCGTCGCGTCCGTGCTGCAATTTCTCCACTCGGCGGCGGATCTGTAGCCGATCGCATCCGCAGCAGGATCGTCCCGCGATTTTGTCGCGTGAATCTCAGAAAGCACCGAAATCTTGCTCGCTCGGAGGATCGAAGCTCGGTAGAGAAGCGATTGGAGTACGTTCCGAGAAGAAGAAAAGTCGCGGAAGAGAATTGCAGACGCACGAGCGCCGATCGTCCGCGAGTGTGCAACGCGAGTGTTGCGTTAAGCCCGTTCTACATTAGTCACGCAAGACGCACAGAACGCAAGTCGCAAGTCGAATTGGAATTCCACCAATCACAGTCGAATATTCTCTTAACATTCGACCGTGATCGGCGGTGAATTTCTACGACTTGCGACTTGCGTGCGTTCTGTGTCTTGCGTGACTAATGTAGAACGGGCTTTACACTTACATCGCCGAGTGGCGGAATTTCAACGTCGACGTGAGACGTTGCTGCTGCTTGATGCTCACCGGCTTCCGGTATCCGCTGATGAGCGTGAGTAAAACAGCCGGAGAATCACTTCCTCTTGGCGCGACAACACACCGAGCTTATTGCGAAGCACGAGCCGGAGTCTGGCCCGGCGGGTAGAATTCTTCGAGTTCACAAGCAATTTACGCTCACGAGTCACGCGGAATAATCCGCTCGTCGCCGCGATATTTACCCGCGTTAATACGCAGACAGACTTTTTCTACTCGATAAGATCCCGGCGGGTGCATTGCCGCGGGAGGCTGACTGTGTGCGGTTGTCTGCCTCTCTCGGGCACCGCCGCCTCTGCTATCACGCCGCAAGCGTGATCTTTCGCCAGCATGTAAATATCTAAGCGATAAAAAAAAAAAACAGCGAAGCGCGCCATCCGATATCCGCGCGACGAAAGGAAGAGACTGTTTCGAAACTTGGACGTCTTCCTCTCTTGGAAACGATCGTAATATGTGTGTGAAACTATGAACCCCGGCTGTATACCTTTGAACGTCTTCCTTCCCTTCATTGCACCGACGAAAGCACGTTTCCTATAAAAAAAAGAGCAAAAAAATGAGTGTCTCAAAATGAATGTAGAAGCGATACAACATCGACGCTCGTGTTTCTACGAGCAGCGTACGCGAAAATTACCCGAAACAAAGAAAACTCATCAGATCCTGAAGTTTCTCTCTCTCTCTCTCTCTCTCTCTCTCTCTCTCTCTCTCTCTCTCTCTCTCTCTCTCTCTCTCTCTCTCTCTCTCTCTTCCTCTCTCTCTCACTCTTGGAACGTAATTTCCGCGAATGAATAATTGATTACGTAGGCGCACGGTTGAAACGAGACTGTCATTCAGCGACGATCGAGGCACATCGATGTATTAGCGTTATATAATTTCCCCGACAGTTTTCTGAAAAGCGTAGAGGTGCCAAAAGAATCCATGAAAACGCAATCATCCCGAGCGATCGAGGTCGCCGGTGGACGGACGCGCCGGATTGTTAAACCCAAACTCGCACATATCAAAGCCGCAAAATGACGAGGAACTGCGCGCGTATTTTGTACAACAGAAGCCGGTCTAGTTTTGCACGAGTTTTTCTCTTTCACTCACTCACTCATTCTCTCTCTCTCTCTCTCTCTCTCTCTCTCTCTCTCTCTCTCTCTCTCTCTCTCTCTCTCTCTCTCCCTCTCTCTCTCTCTCTCTCTCTCTCTCTCCCTGCCTCTCTCCATTTCGCGAAGAGAGACTACGCTCGGGGTCAAGTCCGTCAAACGTTGCTCGCAGCGACACAGGTGTCGACGCAAGAGGACTTAACGCGATCGGCTACGTGTTTTCCGACGCATTATACCGGGTGCGATCTATCGCCTGATATCGTCTCCTTGATCAAAGCATCATCATCTAAAGTCTTCGACGGGACATTTGAGATTGCCTGGAACGACCGAGACCCGGCGGGGTACGGACGTGGTATTTTCGCGTCGCGACTTGCTCCTGGTAATTTTCACATATCGCCGTCCACCTATCTGTGTCTCGTGTGCACTTATTACGTAATCCGCGCCGGATGAAAGCCACGATCCGAGCGAGGTCCGGGCTGCCGAGCGGTCGGCCGCTGCGGAGCGAGAAATCAATCAGTCTGCGCGGATTACGCCTCACTCCGACGAGTCGGGAGTAGGCGGTAAATTATAGGATATCAAAAAAGTTCCGTTGTATCTCTCGAACGAATTCTATGAATAAATGTTTCTATTGTACAACCCTCTCGCCGCTGCGTTCCATCCCCCTTCCGATACGCAAGTGAATACGCTGACTTTCAAAACGGCTGGAACACTTTTCTTTTTCGAACGCAGCTCGGAACGCGACTGACGATCCAATGAGAGGATCGGTTTCTGAAAAATTCCCCAAAATGAAGTTCCCACGTTGAACATCTGCTGCGTTCCGCATCGCATCGGAAAGAAAAAAGTATTCCGGTCGTTTCAAAAGGAGTCCGATATCGCCTTTGACTTCCGGTTAAACTATTTCGGCTCGGACGTATTTCCTCATCATGACTGTTAGTTTTCGGAAAAATCAGCGACTCAATAATATACACGGTGAAGTGCACTTATGCGCTATTACCGTTGCGTTCGACGTTTTCAGGAGGAACGCTGAGTTCCTCCTGAAAAGCAACAATCACGAGACAAAAGTATGCGGCCGCGCTTGAGCCGAAGTGTCTAGCCTAGTCCGAAGTGGAAGACTTATGTCTTAATTAGCGTTACAAGTCTTATGTGTTAATTAGTCTTAATTAGCGTTACAAGTATTGTCACAATTTGCGGAGCTCTGCGTAGACGGACGTAGCCACGACGCGACGACGGCTACAATATACCGTCCGTCTGCCTGCTTTCGATAACGCCAATTTACAATTCTGGGCAGCGAGCAGACTGGGTCTTACGTACCGCCTGGATACAGGTGCGCGTTCCCGTGTTGTTCCTAATTTAATTATACGTTGGGAATACAGTTGACATCTTTATTGAATCTGCACGAGTTACATGTGTGCGCGTCAAGAGCGTATCCGATGGAAGGTATATATTCAGGAACTATACAAAATAAACTTAATTTTATTGTCCAGTGCGATATGCTTACACAAACAACGTATCGTACATAGCTCCTTAGTCGTAATTTTACACAAGGGCGAACGATGATCCGACGACGGGTAAAAGAGCGCGGTAATGTAAAAAACAATGACATTATTTTACACAGTGCGAGAACGATGGACGGGGTCGCGCGCTAGTATCGTTAATATGGCTAAAACTTACAGCTAGAGAGTCGAGATAGAAAAACGAGATGTTGTATTTACAGAGACGATTCAAGGTACACGTATGGGTTTCGCGTTTGACTGACGCTCTCTCAGCACATCAGGGATGATCTCAACCACTGCAAAGAAAATCCGCGATTACAGAGCAATCCCTCTCGACGCACGCGTGCCATTTTGCGATCGCGGCAGCGAGCACATCAGTGTTGCCGATGCCAAAATAACTTATTTCAATAGCCAAAATAATAACTTAAAACTCACGCACCTCCGACAAGCTCAACTTTATGGTCCCGTTCTGCAGAGGATCCTTGCTCTCGAATATACCTGAGCACATCGGAAAGATGATTAACGACTGACTATTTTTCAAGTGATTCAATTGCGTAATTAATCGTTTAAATTATCTTCGCAAGATTACATAAATGTGTCTATTTCGGCGACCGATAGTAATATGTGCATTTTTAATTTCCTACGACGTTTGACTTTTCCTCTTTCGCTTAGAGACGGTTATTTGCAATTTTTCCCAACGAACGACAATTCCCGCAATCATCGTTCGTCGCGTGGAAACGAATCGAGAGATTGAGATCTCGCGCGACAAGCTTACCGAATGCGTCGCTCAGGTGCAATATCGCCGAGACAAAGTCGCCGAATCGGAGAGTCCCGTCTTTCCTCATGTATCGCAGAATCAAGATCGACAGTACGTCTGTGTTTAATTGGAAACCTGTGACAAAAGTTTCGGTCAGACGACAGAACGGGACGTCCGCTTCGCTCCGTCGCTGTACTGCGGTTTCTTCTACGTACCAACTTCCAGCAAGGCGTCCCGCAGTCTCTCCGCCTTGAGTATACCTGTCTTCTCCTTCGTGTGGTTCTTAAAAGCGGCTTGCCAGTACTTTAAACTGCACATAAGATCCTTGAAGTCGTTGAACTTCAGACGACCGCTCCCGGAGCTCTGTTTATCGATGCGACCCCGATGTAAGGAAAATATCGCTCATCGCGCGCGCGTGCTCGCTCGCTCTCTCAACGCATCGACGAAGAAATCGAAGAAACACTTTGCGATTGGGAAACTTCAGATAAATACTCGGCGGGTGAAAACAGACGGAGGTAGGAGGTAGGTAAGTAGCGAGGCGAAATCTAAATACATATACGAAGAAAGCGTAGGCGGATGTAATGAAGCGAGATCGATGTCTTATATCGGGAAATGAAAGTTTCATTCGAAGGATACGTCCATGGTGAGCACTACTTGCCGGCAGACCTCCATGCAGGCGCAGCTTTTGATGTAATCTGCAAATTGAAGAGAAAAGCGAGCGGTTAGATCGAGCCGACGTTTCTCGAGTCCCGCGCTCGACTCGATGAGACCGTCTACGTATTTTACGACGGAGAAGCGTCTCGCGTCTCGTACCATTCGGTAAACAAGCCTCCAAGAGCTCCTGCAACTCGAAGGCGTTTACGGTCCTGTGCTCGTCGGCGAGCTGTAGAAACACCGCTTCGTATTGGGAGAAACCTTTTCCTTCCAGAGGAGGCGCCTTCACGATTGCCGATTTCATTAACGACGGCGGAGTGTCCAGCAGCCTGAAACGTTAACGTTGACGTGCACTTTCTCGCTCGTCTCGCAAAGATTCGATAACGGAGAACCGCGGGAACATAATGTGATGACGACACTTCGGATACCGCAGGATACTTCGCACAATTATCATCGCCCCGTCCCAAAAATAAGTCGTGTTTATTATTTTGTCCCACGTCTTGTCAAGAAAAAAAAAGAAAAAGAAAAAGACAAAATAGTTTCCTTACCTATTTTTATCATTTCCAGAGATATAATCTATCAAAACTCTCTCTCTCACGTAATACGCCGAGACTTTGTAATGCATGTCCTTTACACGTTGAAAAGAGCGTATATCTTTCCTTCAATCGCTCGAATCTCTCTCGTCTTTTCGTGAGGTAATAAATTTGCCACACAACAAATAAAAAAGTGTCAAGGGGATTCAAAGTATACTTTATAAAAGTATCGATGCGTGTTACGACTGCTGATGTCACGAAGGTCATATGAGATAACACGTGATTTCGTACATTTCGCGCACATGACGAAGGAAACCCTCAATAACGGAGGGACAAAGCGGCGATACGTATCGATCACGAGCGCGCGCGCGTGCGTTTGAACAAAGGCAGCACAAATCATGTCGCGATAAAACTTTCAATATACCGTGCCGCGCCGACGACGAAAGGGCGTATGCTTTGGGCCGCGGTTGCTGGATGCGTCCCGTGAAATACGGCCGGGGGAAGACGTTAAAAGTGCGGCTGAAGGCGGATGAGTCGTATAATCCTACCCTCGCGTGAGCTAATGTATGCCCCATGCATTAAACGCAGCACCGCGCGGAGGCGGCCATGCGATCCTTTGTGCCGTTCGTATTATGACACCGGTAAATGCGCGCGTATACCTACTTGAGTTTTAGAGGCTTACTGCTGTAGACCCGTAACGTGAAACTCGTTTCTTGAGTCGGCTCGAAGGTCGTAGGTACCAACAGGTAACCACCCTGCTCGAGCTGACACCTGTGGCTCACCTGCCGACTGTTCGTGTATTGCGAGTTAACTAAGGACTTGTTTTTCTTGAAGAACTGCTTATTTATCGACTCGGTGCTGTTCTTCGGCAGGGTGTACGCCGTGAAACCGATCACCTGAGGGCAAAAGGAAAACGACGAAAGTGCGACGAGTCAATTCGACGGGAGGCACACGTCGTGCGTGCTAGAGCGACTTGGCTGAACAAACGATCCTCACTTTCGGCTCCATGATGGAATGCTGATTCAACGACACGATCACCTCTTCCATCTCGCTGAGAATCAGATGCAGCTGCGGGTTTATGTGGAAGGTTTCTAGGAAAAGAACAGAAACAACAGAGCACGCTCGTTATCGTTCATCCCAGGCAACTCGTTTGATTTAGGTGATACTCAAGATCGAACTTCTGTCTGCGATAACGAACTTTCGGTACTTGAGGTCGTTCCTTCAAGTGCGGCACAAAATGTGCCGCTACGAGAGTAACGCAATAATCGAACCTTGATTATTCCGACATCCTCCCGCGGTGACGCCTCTTCTCCAACTTCCCTGATACAATTTCATCTGCCAAGTGTGTTTACTGTGCAACGACGGCTCGTCTCTCGAAGTTTCGGCGTCTAGGTGCACAACTTCCAGGTGAGTAAACGTCTTAACGAAATCGGAGTACGATATCCTGTGGGAACCGCAACAACAGAGCGTGCAATCAAAACGTTTCGCGATGTCCGCGATCTCGCGGCGACGCGAATTAACGCGTATTGCATATTCATCGTTAAGTTTGTTCAACGACATCCGGAGATCTTCCGATCTTTCTTCTTCGACCGATCAACACGCGCCGCATATGTATAATACCCCCGAGGGAAACTTCTCGAAAATTATACACCAACACCTCTCTCTCTCACCGAAGCTTACCAAAATTCGCCCTCGGCCATGTTCCTCACGGCTAACCGCTCCCTCTCCATCGCCGGCACTTCGTCCCACTCGAGGCCGCCTCTCGCCCAAGCGCCCACATATTCTCCACCGGGTCCGAGAGGGTTCCTCAGTTTCACCAATTGCACCGCCTCCCCGCCAAAAGTTTCCACCTGCGGTCAAGCCGAATGTCACCCTTCCGTTGCGTCATTCCCGTTGCTCTTGCGACTGGCATGACGCATGCATGCGTAAGACGCCATTAGCATCTTCCAGTTGCGGTTTAGGTCTTTTCAAGCGAAGCTCGAGGACAGTTGAACCGCAACTGGCCGACTGCAGACGCGTGCAACAAGCTATCGATATACTGACCCTCTCGATCGCGTACAGCCTGTAATTGATTCCCATTTGTATGCCATTGGCGAGCTTCTCTGTGCTGGCACGTATCTAGGAGAGAGAGAGAGGGAGAGAGAGAGAGAGAGAGAGAGAGAGAAAGAAAAACACGCGGGTAAATGTGAGACAGCCGAAAGAAACGGTGAAATTTCATATCCGCGAGGTCGCCGGTGATGGTCTACCTGTTGCTGCTGATTGTTGTTTACTGTACAAGTGATGAGGGACGTCATGTCCAAAAGTTTCGCAAGCGCGCGTCCGCACGCCGTGGGGTCCTGGCGAATCGCGATGCTCTCGGTGATGCCGCCCGTGAGATCGGACAAACCGTCCAACAGTGTGCCGTACTTGAGCGCCTCGTAAGAGCCGTGAAGTCTAAACACAATTGATCACAGCGAGATTATTAGTTTCTCCTCGCATCGACAGGCGCCTCTCGAACGGTCGCCGAAGTGGTCGTCACAAGAGCACAATATATTCCGACGAGCTGAAGAATAAATACAAGCGAGCGTTTTCAACCGGCCGGCTTCTGATCCCCTCGAAAACTTGCAGAGACGCATGACCGTGAATTTTGCATTTTCGTTGAACGAAACCAAGAGAAATCATCATTTTCTCGCTTGCATTATTCATGCGCTTCAAAAAGCCGCCGTTCCAAGCGCGCTCCGATAGAAATAGGTCGTAAATCGTCGGCAGTTCCGTAGCGTTAACACGTTCGCTACCGGCGTCACACGTGTGTGACGCGCAGGAGAAAGGTGGCGTAAGAAGAGCGGCGAAGTGGCTTTGAAGAAACTTGCGACTTATTTGATCAAAACTGCGGATACGCGTACTTCGCTAATTTACTTTCCGACATCGCGCGCGCGCGCGCAAACAGTGAATCAGTCTGATTCGGAAGATCTCCCGGGGGCGTTCGCACGCTTTTATAATTTTCCCATTAGAGGAGATGAGGTGCTTGGCGACGATCGTTTGTCGCTTGGACGCCGCGCGGACTCCATCGTCGGCGAAGCGAAATGCGGCGCTTTCCCGCGTCGCTCGCGCCTTCCGATGCGCGGCTAAACGCTCCATGATACTTTTTTTATACATGAAGATTATATTTTATTACACTCATCGCGGCCATTACACTCTCGCTTCAAGCTCATCTTTATCCGATCCCCCTGAATTTCACTTGACGCGTTCACGTGATCAACGTTACGCATGCGAACGGCAACGATAATTGCTCTCTCTCTCTCTCTCTCTCTCTCTCTCTCTCTCTCTCTCTCTCTCTCTCTCTCTCTCTCTCTCTCTCTCTCTCTCTCTCTACGTCCATCTAGAGCAACTGAAACTGTGTTTCCCACGGTTACGTAAAAAAAATGACACAACGTGGAAGAGTGCTCGAGTCAATCGCGTGATAGCGTTAACAGGGACCACCCAGGATGCGCTAACAAATAATCAGGCAAATAAACAGGCTAAACGCGCGGCGATCTCGTGTAATGAACGTCGCGACTTAATCATAATGAAATTGCCATCGTTCATCAGCCGCGGGCTCATCGCGAGACGGCGAGATCAATCGACGTTTTCTCATCAGCGGCGCGCATTAGCGGGGGCACCGGAGAAAACGCGGCGTGGACTTTCTTAATCGCGCTCGCCCAGAGACGAGGGAAAGCGGACGGCTCGGATTTTTTTCACCTACGACCTCTCGACGCTACGACACACCGGTGCGCTATGCGCTATTGCGAACTGCACAGACAGCGCTTTCATCAAATCAATCTCCGATGAGGCCACGTCTAAATATGGTGGCACGGCTCGCAGGCAGCGGCCGCAATATTCGGTCTCGCCTCGTGGGAATTCTTCACTTCAAAACTCGCGACACACACAACGCGCGCCGCCAAACCGATGCCGGCAATTGCCGCGACGTTCGTGCCCGAGAAATGCAATCATCTCATCGCGCGTTCTCCCTAGAATTTTCCAGGCACACGCATTATCGATTTGTTACCTGTAACGGAACTCTGCTCAGACTCTTCAGACACTCGATTGCCTCGATTGCTGTCAAAACTTTCGCCGAAATTTAAAAAGTGAGGCAGCTTTCTGAAAAGTCACCGTGTCAAGACACGAGATTGTTTCATTTATTTATTTATTAAGGAATAACGCCGTCTCTCTCTTTCTCTCTCTCTCTCTCTCTCTCTCTCTCTCTCTCTCTCTCTCTTGGAAAAGAAGATACGAATAAAAAAAACAAAATCAAATCAAATTCTTATCGACAGCGTTTCTACTCACCACTGAGATCACTTTGACAAAAACGCATGGAAACCGGTTCGAACATTTTCACAAGAAATCTCCGGCTAATTTCGTTCTCAGCGAAGCTTTACACAAAGCAACTCACCGGCGCACCGCGCAGTTAGAGAGCTCTCGTACCTTTTTCCATCGTTCCGCATACTCGGGCGATAATCGAGAAGTCTCACACGGAGGTATCCGCGAATGAACACACGCGAGTGCTCCGCGAGCAAAACGCATGCGAGAAGACACGAAGAATGAGGAACATAATTTCACTTTACGGTATTGCACAGAGCGAACCTCTCCCGCCCAACGATAACGAAACCCTTCGTTGTCGCGGCCGAGGCATCGTCTGGCAGTCGAGTGGAAAACGCGAGGAATATCGCGATATCGCCGTTTTACGGCGGCGAAGACGTTCCTGACCTATGGCGACGCAAAGGCGGGCGAAGGGAAGAACGACGACGAGAGAGAGAGAGAGAGAGAGAGAGAGAGAGAGAGAGAGAGAGAGAGAGAGAGAGAGAGAGAGAGAGACGGCAGAGAAGAAGGTCACAAAGTGCCACGGCTCGACGAACCTGTCGGAACTCACGTGCAGGATCAAGGGAGTAGGACTCGATATTATCTCTACCGTGCATGTGCCGTTCCTGCGGGAATCAGCATTCCGAAGATAACGGGGCCTCGCGCAGCGCTCAGGCCCATCGCCCGTCCCGGGCGACTGTCGACGCCTTTTCTTTATTGTCGCGCGCGTGCGGTTCACGCCAATCCGAAGACCGTAATCGTCCTCGCACGAACGCACGGAGAGACGCGAGTGTGTACCCGGCGTGTATTTTCTCAAGAAAGACGCGCGTAACGCCCAAGCAGCAGGAAGCAGAAGAGAAGAAGACGAAGAAGAAGAAGAAGAAGAAGAAGATGATGATGAAGATCCCGAGCGTATAATTGGATCGGTGTCCTCGTCGACCGGCTCTCCGTCGCTTCCTCCTCGCCTTCCCGTGCTTTTCCGGGTGTAATATCGGCGCGCGGACCTCGCACTATCTGCGTGATTAATCGCTCGCTGATAATAAGCAGGAGGAACAACAAGGCGGGAGCGGCCACGTCGAAATAAAATCTCAAACGCGCGTCCGAGAGATCGCAGCGCACCTGGCTGAGAACCACTGATCCAAAATGCAAAAACGCGAGAACCCGAGAGCTTCCCGCTTGATGGAAATCTTAAATGCATATCGTCGCGATGTTAGCGCCGCTAATTGCTGCTCGACGACTGCAACAGCCGGCCCAAAGTAGCGTCCGCCTTTCGCGCTCAATGCCGCCGCGCGGAGTTCTCTCTCCTGCGCGAGGATCTCCCCCGGAGGAGCCCCGGAGGTCACCGCACCTTCGACCGAAGCTGCGGGACACCGCGGTGCCGCGGTAACTCGCCCGTTGTCACTTTGTGACTCGACGGTTGCCGTTGATGCACTTCCGTTCCGCGTTCGTCTAACGGAGCGCGAGTGAGCGAGCGGGCGAGCGAGCGAGCGAGCGAGCGAGCATGTATGTGCAACATCATTGTCGCGTTACCTCGCTCCATTACCAATCATCCCACGTCATCGTCGTCGATCGTCTTCCGCGCGTATTACCGCGCACTTGTTACGTCGTACCCGCCGCGACGTCCTCGAGGACGATTGCGTCGCGTGAGCGGATCGCGCGAAATCCTCCTGCCTTCGTCGCGAAAGTCGCTCTTGCTGGGCCGCACGAAAGTTGTATCCTCGGGCTCGATCGCTCGAACTCTGGTCAATTGCGCGATGTCGGGCGCGAATGTAACGATCGAAAGCAAAGCTTTTGCTGTGATTTTGCACAGCGAACGGCAGACGAGAGGAAATTTCTTCAAAATCGTCTCTTTGGAAGTTATTTTTTTCTTTTCTCTCGACCTGACATGAATGAGACCTCCGAATGAGACAACGAGTGTTTCATTACCATATCCCTCACGCCGCGAATGCGCAAAATTTAACAGCCTTTACATTTCGTAATTCAGAGCTAAATAATATTCTTATCGTCATTTTCCGTCTCTCTGCACGTAAACGTCGAGAAAATTCAAAGGAGACGCCATTATTATGCGAGATTTGTTGACCAACCAGTGTTAGGTCGAGCAGAACAACCGTGGTTCATTTAGCGAGATCATTTAGCTCAACATTCACATTTCCTTCGGTATAATAATAATAATAATAATAATATTTTCTCCCCAGCGTACATTGCACAGAAAAAGTCTCGCACAAAGGCTCCACATGAAAGCTGCATGAGAATTCTCTGATGCTGCATGAAAAATGTAAAAGATCACTGGATCTACGGTGAGTAGAGCACGTGTAAAGAGAAAAAGAGAGAGAGAGAGAGAGCGAGAGTGAGTGGAATATTAAAAACTGAAATATTAGAACCGGCCGACGCCCACGGGTGACGCGAATAAACGAACCGACGGCGGCTAGAAACCGAAAGGGGCGATATACTTATTAAAAATAACAGCCCTGAGGGGAGGGGAGGGGGGAGAACGTTCCGGCGACCAGTTACGTGACTATCGGCCATGTCGGTATCTCCGCCGGGTATCGCTAACCGGACGAGTTCCATTGCGCATTTCACGATATCGTCAGCCTTTTTGTTCCCTCCGCATCCTGCTTCCTTCTCTTTTTCTCTCTTACTTTCCTTCGCCCGCGATTACGGCCTCTTGTTTTTTCCCTTCCTCCCTTTTTTCGAGCGACGACCTTTCGGACTGACGCGCGCGTCACGCTATCGGTTCTGCCGCTCTATTTTTCCCCTTACGTAACGACGTCTCTCCCCCTTCCCTCCCTCCCTCTCTCTCTCTCTCTCTTCCTCCGTCGCGTAGAAAGCGGCGAGATCGAGAAAAGTGATTCTCCGGCGTCTCTCTGTCGCTCTACCGAGCCTACCCACCTACCTATTCTACCTGTCTGCATCTACCTGGCGAGCGCGGTGACTCGCAGAACTTTGCGAACATGCGGACAGCGAGATAGCCGCGGCGATCGGCGATATCGAGTCGAACGGGCAAAATCGGCCGGCCGGCCGACTGCATGCCGCATGCCGCGTTCGCCGCGGCGCGCATGGTGCATCCCGCCTCCTCAGGATTATCGACGCGCTGCTTTTGCGGCCGTTTCGCGCTCGCG